ATAACAGCAGGGTTTTTAAAGATCTCGGGAAAAGATTTAATATTGACCTCCAGTATACCCCACGTTATCATCCGCAAGCAAATCCAGTGGAAAGGGTTAATAGAGTGTTTGAAACAGTTATACGCTGCCACGTTTCCGATAATCACAAAGATTGGGATAAATTTTTGCCGCAGGTGGCCTTTGCTATTAATTCAAGTGTGCATGAGACGACAAAATTTTCACCTTTTTTTCTAACTTTTGGTCGTCAACTTTCATTGTATAATCAACCAGCGCCGGAAGCTGAGCGCGATCAGGCGGTGCGCGATCCGATCTCCGAGTATGCCAAACGATTTCCGAAACTACAAAAAATATTTGAAACCGTTCGTGAAAATATGAGGGCGTCCGGGGAGAAGAACGCACGTCATTATAATCTGCGCCGACGGCCGGGTGATTTGCGAGTAGGCGATTCTGTCATGAAAAGAAATTTTGTTTTGTCCAATAAAGGAGCAGGGTTCTCAGCTAAATTAGTCCCATCATTTGTTGGCCCGTATACAATTGTTGAGCAGAAGGCTCCTAATATGTTCACTCTGGCAGATGATCAACGAAAAATAATTGGAGATTTTGATTGCAAGGATTTGAAGAAAACTGCGCTCACGAATTAATTTCCACTTCGTGAAAATTAATTTTGTGACGGGGGGAGGTATAACGATTAATTGGCAGTTAGGATATTGCAGAATTTATTACACACACATTTTTTTATTTTGCAAAATCTATTTCTTTTTTTATACACTTTTTTTAATTTCACTTTCCTTTCCTTCACCCTTTAAAATAAAATTGTACGTCGCCGGACAAGACCAGAGGCGGCGAGGGAGCTGCGAGAGTGAAAGTGAGTGTGCTCGCCTGCAAGTGCACTTTGCACCTTGCACGTGACGGGTGCCGGAAGGTGGGAGGCACCGCGGTGCTTTCCGCAGAAAGCGGTCGGAGTCAGTGGCCCAAAACCAATCAAGGGCGACGCACTTGCCGTTGCGGTGTGCGTTCGCCAAAACGATCGGCCGAGTGCCGAAATCGGATCCGAACGAGTGTCGTGGACACAAAGTAAAACGTGAGTTTTATTAGCAAATTTTTAAACCCCATTTGGGCCTTTGTCCGGTGGACTTCCGAGCCACCCTATTTTTCCCTTCGGGTTCACTGACACGACGCTTTCGACCTTTCAGGCGCCCCTCGGGGCCGTTTGGTGTCTAGGAACGGCTTCGTGGAGCCAACCGGGGCGTCATTCCGGACGGCGGCTCAAACACCACCCTGAGCTTGCCGAATGACCTCGTCAATTGGGTCACTGCACGAGCCACTCACATTTCACGTTTCACCCTTCGGGTTTGAGAGAGTCAACGAGCAGCAAGAGGGAACGACTCATCAAATGGACATCGACGAATAAGTACCATTTTTGAAAGTGCACTTTTGATATTGTATCCAATTCCTTTTCCTACCCTTTTTTTATATTGATACACTAATTTCATTACATTACATTCATACTAATTATTATCATTAAAATTTTACAATAAAGTTTTGCATATTTTACTACCTGCAAAATTAATTGTAACTTTGGTCTTCTTTTTTATTGCGATACGAATCTCCAAATTATTTTCAACAGTTCAGTCAGTTTGCACATTTCAGGAGCCACCAGAAAACGAACCCTGGTTTAGTTTTTTTATTTTGAATTTTGAGAATTTAATTGAGCATAATGTGTAGCAGCATTTAAATCTGTTACTGGCATCCCAACATAGAAGAAGTTTCCAGAAAGAACTAAGTAACGTTATACGACGGTTTCTGCACCGACTGCACGATTCGTTCATTATTGATGCGGCCGATTTCTGATTTCGCCCTGTTATATTTATTCCGGCACGCTCTCGCAATATCTTTCTCCTCTGTACGTTATTTCAAAGGGCGAACCGAAGTCAAACTTGCTGCTTTTTTTGCCGCCCCACTAATGACGGACGGGGCAGCAGGCACGACAACTTTGTGTCCGACCTGCTGAGATCAAGTCGCAACAACTTGCGAAAAGCGAGACCCGGTTTTAATGAGTACTCTCGGGCGCACTCAAGTCGTGAGGGAAATCTGCTGCCGTAAGTTGCGAATTCTGGGGAAACGATGGAGCTACTTGAAAACAGGGCGTTTTGCTCCAACTTTGTGCTTGAAATATAAACTTCGGTAATAATTTATGAGACTGGCAAAAGATTCACGGAAAATCAAACTTTAAGTATTAAATAAATGCTAATAAATGAATATCAAGAAGGAGGGAGCTATTTTTTTTAATTAAATGATTTAATTCTTAATAAATAAAAAATGTTTTATTATACTTTTATTTGTAAATGAATTTAATATAAATGTGGGAGAATGCTCTGCCTGTATCCATTCAGATATTAAATATTTAAAAAAATTGCCCTAAAAAAGTGAGAGAAGACATTTTTAAGAAATTTCCACTGCAAAACAATGGACCGATCAATTGCAAAATTTCCCCAAAACTAATTGAAATAAATTTTTAAAGATAAAATGTTACGTTTTTTTGCCATTTTCCTTAATTTATCTCAAGAGTACAAAAACAAGCAATAATCACGAACGTCCTTTTCAAAAGCGCACCACTCTTTCTTCGAGAAGTATATCAAAATGTAATTTACCCCTGGCCTTTTTCAAGCAACTCAACTTCGACCTTTCAATATTTGAGAATCCAACCGAGCGACAGTCTTTTGAGATATGAAAAATGGAAGGGTAAATTCCCACTTATAAAAAAATCAATTCCCAGAAGCGATATTGAACCTGTCTCTACGCCACGTCTTTTTTGTACTAAGAGAACCACTTTCAATTCAACTCGATACCATTTTTTCCAATCGAATGTATATTTTGATTGGTCGATAAATTTTTATTATAAATATCACATTAAATAATGTTTTATGTTTAATTAAAAATTTGCATTTCAAACTGTAATTAAATAATTTGGTTCGACTTGCCTGGAGAGTCAAAAGATCCTCATCGTCGCTCCGACGGTAAATTATCCCGCACGAGCTGAAAACTTTCCGACTGATAAAGTCTGAAGTCACCGGCACACGAAATCTCGGCAGACGCGTGTTTTCACGAACAAGCAGGTGCCGACGCGTGAGACAGACGGTGTTTGTCCTAGGGAAACGAGAGCACCACCACACACCACTGCTAAGGGTATATAGATGTGGCAGAGCAGAGAACGAACCCGGCCGGCTGGCGTTTGGTGATGCCGAGGGAAGACTGCACTGCAGCTCGCAAGCAGGAGCGCGATGGGCTGCTCGGCGCGCGAACGCCCTGCCGGCTCGAAGCGCCCCCTGCCCTCCTGCGACGCCGACAACCCTTGCCTTCCCTGCATGCTTTTGGGCAATTGCCCACTTGGGTTTTCGGCCGGCTTTTATCGACGTCGTTATTAATACTTTGATGCGCCTTTGGAATCACTTGCCAATTTTTATGTGTATCTGAGGAAACTTTTATTTTTTAAGCAAGAGAGCGCGTTTTCTCTTTCTATCGGTTGTGCGTTTTCTCTAGAGCGTTTTCGGGCAATCGATGGCGGAGATAGTCGGTTACATTTGTCCCTGTTTAGGGACATGAGCGATTTATTTCCACCGTTGCGATCACGATTATTTCTTTGGTCTGGTGCAGACGGGTGAAATGAAGTCTTGTTTAATACTTCTAAATTTCGCTGGGCCTTGAACTGTTTTTTAAGAATCTTGACCATATTATATAATTTGAAAATATTGAGATTTATTTTTAATTATATAGGAAAATTCAATCAAATGTATCTGTTTCGTGACTTTTCAATTTAAGCTCGATTTCTCTCCTTTGGTAATTAAATTGAAGAACAAAAATAGAGTCCTTAATTAGTTTCTGCATTTCAGAGCATTTGAATTTAAAAAAGAAATGGAATTCTTTGTTAAGGCTTTTTGCTTTAAAATGACTTAATTAACTTAAATGCAGTTTAAATGTTTTGATAATTACGAAGTTTTGTGGAGGAAGTTTATGGCAAATATTATAATTATTTCTGTATCTGCTATTAGATTTATAACAATTATAAATGTCCTACTTTGAAGACAAAAATACAGACCCTTGACCTATGTTTTATGTAAACTTACGCAAACTCAACTGGAAAATAAGGTCGTGGTTGCTTAAAACTCTTGACTGCTCAACGGTGCATTAAGTAAGCAAAACTCATAATATTAGTTCTCATTGGAAGTACATGTTTTCCTCAACATTTGAAAACTCGGCATTTTGCGTTTTATGCTCCAGTAATTACTTAATTTAGTAAGAACTATGAGCGAGATTTAAAATATAATCGAATAAGTCCATGAGTGTCACTCGTAGATTTAGATTAATTGTTAAAGAGTATGCCATATTATAGCACTTAACTTAATAAATAATTGCATGATAGCAAATAAAATTGAATAAAAATTCAAAGTAAAAAAATTCAAAATTTTTAATTTATAATTACATATTAAAAGCCATTTTCAACTGGATAAATATTGTTCATGCTAATAAAAATGTGTTTAAAATTAAAGAAATTTGAGATCACAGATTTTTAACCGTGTCATTTAAATGTTCATACGCTTCTAACCTTATTATGGTGAAATACCGAAACTATTTCATAAAGTGTTAAAGGACGCAGGATACAGAAATGCGTTATAGTTGTTGAAATGATCACCGCAGCATTACGTTGGATGAGTTGAATTGCACTAATTGTTTTCAATGTGCTTGATGATTCTCGCAAACACGCACGTGAATAGTGCAGGCTGATTGCCAAATTGTGTGCTCGAATTGTAATACGAATTAACCATGGTACTCCATTTTCGTTAGGCCACGTTTGTAGGGCTTTTAGGCAGATTAAAACTCATCGCGAAAGGTTGGTTAATTGTAACTTGCGTGGCACCGGCGAAGAATTATGTGCCTTTTGAACGAACGCGCGGCGCGTTTTGTCTCGGCTGAAAATTAGTTGAAATGGGACTACACGGTACCTTCACACCTTTCCGTGACGATTCGCCTCCCTCGATTTCTCTTGCGCTGCCACCACAGACCGCACGAAACGGCTAAAAGGTAAACGTCAGTGCCGCTTACCTGTAACACAACACAAGTCAGAAGATGTTAAATTAGTGTTTTGTAATTGGGGCAAAACATGAAATTTTATAACAAAATGCTAATAAATATGGAAATGAAGAGATCCGGTTTTTTCCTCGTTGTTCTCTTCACTTCCATGATCATGTGGAAATTTCTTCGGAAAAATGTTAATAAATCTGTTGTTAATTTTCTGCAATTTTTGTTTGTCAAATTGAAGTCGCCCAGTTTAATTTTTTACTACTTCCCCCCACTTAGTTTTAGTTCGGTCATGACAAATTCTTATTTTTAAAAAGTGCCAGCTTTTTGAGTAATTTGTCATTTTATTCTCATTTTTTTTCTTTCTAACGAGGTTCGCCGGTTTCAATTTTTCATAGAAGATGTAAATTAAAATTTATTTTCATGCTTTATAATTACCTTTAAATAGTAATATTATTTTGTATTTAATTACTTGAAAGTGACGATTTGTGAACTCAAATTAGTCATTAAGAGTGCAATGGAAAATCTTTATGCAGAGACCTATCATAATTTCACCTGCTGAATTTCTATTAAGTTTTCAAACCTTTTAAAATGAAATAATTTATTGACTCTATTATCACATTTTCAAAACTTTAAAATTCAATATGCCAAGCATATTCAATTTTAATTTAGTTGCAAATATTGTTTTTTTAATTATTTTTATTTAAGAGGAACATTTTAATATAGTATTAATTTCAATAAAAAAAAATCCATAATATACATTTATTTTTTAAAATGTAATTTTTTTATCATAATATGTGAATCCAACGGGATATTTGAATTTTTCAAATCAAATTACATTTTCTTCATAATATTTAGCGATAATTACAATTATGCAACAGATGCCAATCACGCTCATTATAAAAAAGATTAATGATTTCTAATTAAAATAATTTGATATCAATGGAAATTCAACACCTCCGCGTGAGTTGGAATTATATAACATTGCTGTCATTGGAAATGAAAACCATAACGAGAAATTAATTAGTCCCGATCCGCGATTACATAATTTAATGAACGGATTTTACAAAATCAGAGCTTGTCACCCTCAGTTGATTAATTTTCACTGCTCTGAGTGACATAAATTTCTGAAAAAGGATCGCATTACCCGTGTCGGGAAACAGAAAATAGGTCACTTTCCTGAAATGAAATTTGCACAGGTTCGTCACAATATGTTTTGACGTATCTTTTTTGTAATCAACTTGAGTAGGATTTTTTTGCAAATATGCACGTCACTCCGAGAGAAAGAGAAGTGCACACAAGTTTTAATCCACACTCTGTGCGATTGCCGAGGCCAGACAGAGATAAAATTTGCCCGCCGCGACCGAACGGGAGACGAGTTTTAATTAAATCTGTCTTGTCGATGGTGAAATAAATGACACGGCGGCGCGCGCCCACGCCGAATGAAAATGGAAAAATATGTACATCCACCTCTTTTTTATTCTCGCCCTTCTTTCGCAGACCGAAAAGCCTCAACCCGTGATGATTTTCACAGCCCTTTTAAATTTTTTTCTCGCACATTTGGCGCCGCAGACGAGACGACGCTCGTTACTCCATCAGAGCGACATGCACGATGGCGAGATGGCTCGTTAAATGCTCTCCTGTTAATTGGCAAAATGTTCAGCTCGTTGCCCGCTGCCGTCGAGCGCCTTTTAATCGCGGCACGGACTTGATTTGCGTATGTGCGTCGGGGTTAAAGGAGGTCACTAGCTTCTTCTCATTATGAAGATGAACAGAAATCTTCAAAATAAATTTAAACAGCAACAATATTATAATAAAAATATTAATAAATATTAATGAAACCAATTTAAAATAATTAAAATTGGATGAAAAAAATATAGTGATTTTCTGCAGGTGTAAAATTTACTGAGTAATAATTTATTTACTTTTTATTATTAATCAGGACTAATAAGAAGATCCACGAGAAATTGCTGACTTGGAAGGGGAAATTCTAAAGACGTTTACCAAGAAACCGTCGGAAAATTACCTAAGCGAGTTATTCTGTGCGCAACTCATGAAAGACAGGCAAATTATCAAACTAGTTTATGTATCGTGTGTGGAGTGCGCTGCACGACGTAAGTAAACGTTGCTCGCACCTTCTCCTCTCGCGTTTAGCATGCAAGGCACTCACTCGTCCTTGCTCAAACACACTTTGCATAACATTAAGCAGGCTGCAGTGCAAAAATTCGCAATTACTTCGGGCGCGCGCAAATCTTGATAAATATTCATACGCATGCAAATTCGCGCGCGCGATTCGCGCCATTAATTAAGCGGCGCGGACGCTGCTGCTGCTATTTTGCGGCTTCGCTCGCCTAGGAGCAGTCAATTACTCATACACGTGTAAAGGCTTCGTCACACTCGGAGATAATTAATCTTTGCGACCGCGAATCTCTCTTGTTGCTGCGCCGCAAGGGATCGGTTTTATTTCGGGGCTCATGTAAATTGCACGACCGTCTTTTATGGGCACACCCGCCGAATCTTACACTTATTGTCAGCGTAAAGAGGCTTTTAAACTCGACTGCCGAGGGACCCTTTTCTCTAAATTTGCGGTCCCCTTTCAGCCTCTTCAGCTGACGTCATGCCCTTTGTTAGCGTCGAAAGCGTGTCATGTGGAATTTAAGGTGAAATGCGTGGGTTTTAAATTAAAGCTGAAAGGCCAACTTCAGTGATGATATTTTTGTTCGTGAATTTAAAAAAAAAAAAAAAAAGAGATAAATAAATTCACAATCGGGTTCTTCAAAGGTTGATCGTTACTTCCCTCAATGAAATTAACTCTCAAATCTTTCATTCGCGATTTGATTTCAAAAATGAAATTTTGCTTCATTTTTTATTCAATAATAACAATCATTACTGGAAAGGCCCTTTAAAAACACAATTTTTTGAAAAACTTTAGGACGTCTTTACTTTTTCCCTAAATAAATATTTTTTGCTTTCAGAATAGGGACAATATGAACCCACGATATTTTAACTTTCTGAAACATAACTTTTTTATGCTATTTATGCATGGTATGTTTACTGTTGGAATCTAAAGACCCCTCTCTCTTCCAATGAATATTTCATCGATGCTGTGATTTAGGAAGCGAATTTGTTCGCATGCAGTTTTGTAAATATCCACGAATATATCAGTCTACCTTCTTCCTCCCTCATGGAAATCGAGCAGATGTGAGTGGGGAAGAAACAACAATCCCTTGCCCCATTCCACATCACGGGTCCTTTACATCAAATTTCTGGGCTCGAGTGCCAGAGGGGATGCAGTGTATCGGACCGTTGAGCTCTTATACGTATGTGTTCGGAGGAAGCGGGCTTATGCAACGTGCTCTGCTCCGAGGACGCCCGGGTTGCATAAGCTGCCAATTCTCGTTTACCTTCTCATGTTGCCTGTCGATTAACTTGGCAGGCGATTATTTATTTTTAGAAGCAGTTGAACAAATATGTATAGTTCCATGAGCCTGAGACGTTTAATCCATACTGCGCAATTGTTGGTCGAATTTATTACTGTAATTTCAAGATTCTAAAAACCATTTTTATAGCGGTTTAAATTTTCAACAAGTACCGGTAAAGAAAGAAATAAAAAATTTTGATGATTACAAAGGTGATAAATTTTGAAGTTTCCCCATTGGATGATTTTGTTTAAATAGTGCACAATATTATAAAATTTTAATCAACAACCATTTCTTTTAAATTTAAATTCAGTTAGTACAATGGTTAAAATTTGGATAATATAGTAAATTTTATAAGATTCAGGTATTGCATAATACTGTATATAAAAACTAAATATACTTAAGCTGAATATCGTTGTATTAGGTTTATATTTTTCTGTATTTTGTTTCAAAAAATTACAAATTCCAAATGTTTACGATTTCCTAATGTCTGCCATTTTGCAGAGCAAGCGAATGGCGGGTTTTACGGCTGAGCAGGAATATTTAGATGCGAATTTACGCGCATTATGCAGCGCCGCTCGGCACCATAAAAGAAGGAAGAAGCTGCTCTTCTTTAGAACGGACCTCGGTTTTCATGGATCAACAAACAACCGGGCGTAAGCAGCAGAAAATGAGTTTTTCTGTGCTCTCGAGAAGTGTGTGGGAGAGAACCAGGTCGGATGAGAGGGCTAGCGTGGGTCTATCTGGAGAAGGTCCCTTGAGCACTTGCTCGTTTAATCGAAGCGGCCTAGAATAACGCAGCAGATGATTTACCCTGAGGGAGCGCATATACTGCGTTAATTGAAACTAAGTCGGAGATGTATCGCCGCTGATTTATACCCTTGACGTGTGCTACATTCGCCGCTGAATGCGGCAGACAGTTCTCTGTTTGTTCTTCGCCGACAGTCACTTGAAACGGGCGCTCAGTATATGGAGAAAGTTTGGGCCGCTATAGAGCCTGCGAAAAACGCGAATGAATCCCAAGCGATGAAATCTAGGCTGGCAATTACAGTGATGGTTGAGGGTGTTTCTGACATGGTGTTCAGGCTTGCGTATTTTCAGCGACTTGGTACAAACATATTGTTTAAGCAAATTTTTATCAATTATAAAACATTTAAAAAAAAATTAAAATTAAATTTATTGACCTATATTTAATTGCATCAATAATTATTTATATTGATTTATATTAGAAAACCGGAGAAAAAATCACTGTAGGAAAATTTGAAATGAAATTAATTTTAAAAAAAATATATAAAATTCAAATGCCTCATCTTGGAAATTTATCGTGTTTTAAATAGACGGCAACAGATCTATCTTTCAAACTTATTTCTTGGTTTTGAGACTGTTTTTTTTTACATTTTAAAAGCTTTTTAATCAAGCAGAAATTAGGTTTCACGGGCGAAAAAAATTGAATTTTAAAAAAAGTTCAATTTAACTGAACTTTAATATTTGATGACAAAATTGCTATTCCTTTTCTCAAATAATTTTTCAGCCTTAAGGAAAGACAGCTTTAAGGCATGATTATTTACTTTCACTTATTGTAAGAAATTATCACTGGAATGTAAG